CCTGAAGTAGTATTAACAAAACATCACATCACATGCCAGGTTAATACAATATTCCACCACGAACAAACACAATAGATACAATGCCTACATCATTATTGTCACATAGTGGAAAAATCTGCCACAGGAACATGATCTCTAGGCTGATGTAAACCAGGTGCTTCACAATGGCAATGCTGTTTTGTTTCACTTTGACACTTTTGAAATGCGTGGGTTAATTCCCACTCTCTCTCCAGAACTTGCTTAGAAGCCATAAATAAGCTTTGTGTCTCCATTGGTAAAACAAAGACATGAAAGATGAGTCTAAAGGCTAGAAAATAAATGAACAATAATAACAAACAGAATGCAAATTTACTAAAACAAATAAATCAAAGAACAGACTGCCCAGATATGCTTCATTCTCTGTTCTAAAAGGTTTTCAATGTCAAACCAGATAAAGACCAGAGTAACCTGATCCCATCTCAAAGCTGATGCTGCTTAGAGCAGAATGCTGGACTGGTGAACTTGCCAAGTACCTTTTACCCTGAATTATTGTTTTCTACTCCTGCTACACAGCTTTCCTGGGTTCAGCCTCTGACTAAAGAGACTGAATCTCCTCAAGTCTGGCAATACAGACATGCTCAAATGCAGTCTTCAGAGCCAAAACTCCCCTTGCAGGCTCTCCAGCCTTTAAGCATTCAAGTGAGAAAGTCATCAACCCTTTAGCCCAGTAAAACTGGGCCGTCAACTCCACGATGACCTGTTGCCAGATGGTGGAGCAGCTTTGAGAGTGCACCAGCAAGCTGGGCCCTTGAAACAGCCTTGCAAAGGTGCTACAGAGTATCTAGAAGGATGGCCAGGCTGTAACACAAGTGCTAGACTTCACTACCCTGCCAGATTTTCAGGGCTCACTACAAACCACAATCCCTGTGAAGTTTGCAGCCCACACTTCACATCTGTCAGGCTGATGCACCAGCACAGCAAGCAGGGTGGCAGTGGGTGGCATCTTGCAACTGGTGTGGCCTGTCTGTCTCCTGAAGTGTCAAACTAGACCAAGTCATACAAAATCAAAATTTGAAAGGGAAGCCAAAACCCTCTGCAAAATGCCTGTTTCCTGATTGCTGGTGGCCAGCCCTCCACTGGGTGCCACCTTCCCTGACTGCCACCTCGTGTCTCCTGAAAGCACTGCCAGCAGGAGCAGGATGCTGCACCAGCACTTTGCTCTAGAGCTATCAGTCTTTACTCTGCTACACATTCATTTTCTTAACCAACACAGGGAGGAGTGCAATCAAAATTAAGCCAGACTTGTAAAATGAATCTCTGTCATCTGTTTTTTGCTTTTTAATCAGTTCCTGGCTACCAGCACTCCAAGCTAATTGCCTTAAAGAGTCAGAACTCTCTTTGAGGATCCATTGATTGTCACATTTACTTTGACAAGAATAGTATTAAAATACATTTGCACTTTTATTTGTACATGAAAATTCACCTTTTTTTCCCTCCCTGGAGAGTGCAGCTAAGTTCTGCTCAAAAACCTCATCTGTACTTTGAGGTATGTCCACTGAAACACCACTCATGACATGCCAGGGACAGAAACCTGGAAATTATTTAAATTTTGGACAATATTTAAGATATTCCTGATGCTGATCCATAAACATCTAGTGCTGGCAATGGAAAACAGCAGTGGAAGACTACAGTGAACATAAAACAGGAAGCCCACTTGGCCACAAAGCACAAGCTTCTGTACTGGCCACATCACTCTCACTTACAGGCAGAGTATTTCCTTTCCTGGGTGGCTTTTCCAACAAGGGACTACCAGAATGCCACCATAAAAGGGAGCAGGGGTGTTTCACTGACTCATCCTAGAGGAAAAGCAGGCCATAACTTCCACACTCCAAAACAACAAGAACCACACAAATTCTTTTTGTTTCCAAGCAGTGAAATTCAGATGTGGTATGGTTTGAAAGCTCAGTATCCAATGGAACCAAGCTTCTGCCTTGGTTACACAGAAAAGGGCAAACCAAATTGCACCTAGGTGAACATTACCCTGAAAAGGCAATTTAACCTTTCAAATTAAACTTTGGGTCTCATCACTACTAAAAATAGTTACATCTTTTACAATCCTGGCAAAGTCCAGTTTTAGCTGAAAACACAGCAAGTAATATGACTGATAATCTTCTGCATAGATAATGGTAACTCTTCAGTGATCCAAAAGTACCACACACTCCTTACAAAAATCCAGCATCCAATATTCTTTCTTGTTGGTTATAAGGAGAATTATTTTATCACCTGAAGACCAAGACATAAGAAAATTGGTGATTTCTTTTTCCAGACAGTGTCAAATGTCATAGTGAATTCTCATTAAACAGCTTTAAGAGGCAACTTCTCATTCTATCAGAAGTTATTCCACCAGACCAAGATGCTTAAACACACTTGGCCAAGCTCTTCACATGTACCTGTTATCTTTTCTCTGTGTTTGTACAGATTAATTCAGCTCCCTCTACACTTCTCAGCAGGAAATGCCAGGTACTGGCCGAATTAGCTGAGCCCATTCTGAGCTGATAATGGGAAGTTAGCTCACTCCCATGCAAATAAGTACATCTGCTATGAGACAAGGATCCTCATTCAATGCAAAACTTGCTGCTGCTGATGAAAACTCTCAGTTTCTTTCTATTAGCAAAAGTAAAGTGAACCAAGTAAGTCATGTGCTTTCCTGGAAATTCATTTCTAGCAGGTAGAAACCATTCCAATTCTACACAGTCCACAATCACTGCTGCAGATCATTTATACCACAGCTGAACACCTGAGGTCTTGCACATTTAGAATTTTTTAAGCCTAAAACGTGTAAGCCAGATCATTCACTTCCTCATCCATCAGATGGGGATACTGCACTAGGTTACCAGTCCATGCAACAGTGATCTCAAAATGCAACCTACACCATTAATTAGCATTTAATATTCCCATCACTTCACTTACTAAATGTTTCTGCTAAACTTCTACATGACACCTTTCAGACAAAAATTCCCCCCATTGGCCTGTTCCATGATCCAAAGACCAAACACCTTTCAGGGATACAAAAGAAGTATTTAATAACAACTGTCATTATTTCAGAAGTACAAAAGTGATACTCAGTTTTAGGGTCACAGCTGCTATTCCCAGAAAGAAATGTGGTCATGTATGATGGAAAACAGCAACCAGATCAACCCCATACCCTGATATGGTGAAACAAAAGACTAATTTACTTAAGCCAGGAGCAAGAGGTGAGACCAATCCATAGAAAACTGAGCACTAAGGGTTTGGATTGCAATCTGGCTACAGCTGTGAGATACATGCCTCTTGATTTATGAGAATCTACCAAAAGATTTGTACAGACCAGGAAATCCACAGCTCCTACCCATCCATCCATCCATCCATCCATCCATCCATCCATCCATCCATCCATCCATCCATCCATCCCAGTGACTGCCTCCTACAGCAGAGGACATACTGTTATTGTATGGCAGGATTGAATGAGCTAAGAGAGAAACACCAGACCTCTCCTCTTTCCTCTCACCAAATGCTGTTTAGAGAACAATGAGTTTTACTTTGTTTTACTCTGACCCCACCAAGGTTACTTACAACATGGTCTGACTACAGCACAGGGCACTCTATCCCTTTTCAGTGATGTCACTGCTCACACATGGGAAGAAACACTACAGCATGATGCTGGCACTTAAAATGTTATTTCACACATGCTTCAACTGAATAAATTAAGCCCCATTAACTCAGGATTAACTCTGAAGTTCTGCTGTCAAAAAGCCTGAGGAGAACGTTACTGTTTACAGAAATCAATTGCTCTTCAGGTATTTCCAGGGAACCTCAGCCACAAGGTCTGTAGGAGCAAGAAGGATCGATGTGATGATCTGGGAGGTGTGAGAGTAAATGGATGAGAACACATAGTGCAAAAATCACCACAGAGCAAGAATATAATGCTTCACAGTACTTCTCTTCTTTATCCAGTGACAATTCTTGTCTAAATCCCCATGACATAAGTCAAGTTAGTAACTCAGCCACAGACTTAAGTCTCTGAATGTCAGTGTTCAGTTTCCAACACCATTTCAGAGATGCACTGAGCTGAGGTAGCTCTGAGGCAAAGCTGTTTCACCTCTGTGCTGATGCTTCTTCTGTAAAATGGAGTCAAGCTGTAGTTGCACCACATCTTTCCTGCCTCACCTGTTCCAGTTGTACATCACTGTGGGACACCAGTGTCAGCCTGGAGACATCTTTACCACAGTTCAGATCCTCATCAATAATCTTCCTAGGAAAGACCAATTCTCAGTGCAGTGATGGAGCTACTGGACTGCACAGACCACTCTGGCATTTGCAGGGAATGCCCCGACGAAGGCAGGAATGATGAATCTGACTCCATGTTCTCAGAAGGCTAATTTATTACTTTATGATACTTTATTTTATTAAAGAATACTATACTGTACTAAAGAATACAGAAGGATACTTACACAATGTTAAAAAGATAATAATGAAAACTTTTGACTCTTTCCAGAGTCCTGACACAGCTTGGCCCCAATTGGCCAATGAGTGAAAACAACTCACAGCAGAATCCAATGAAACAATCACCTGTGGGTAAACAATCTCCAAACACATTCCACATGAGCACAACATAGGAGAAGCAAATGAGATAAGAATTGTTTTCCTTTTCTCTGAGGCTTCTCAGCTCCCCAGGAGAAAAATCCTGGGCAAAAGAATTTTTTCAGAGAATGTGAATGCCACAGACCCCAATAAACCAGAAATACTGGCAGCTGGTTAGGGCAAAGAACATTTAAGAAAGTGATTAAAGTCCTTCACCAAAGGTAAGTAACACATTTCCAAAGAGTCAAAGACACAAAACTTTGTATACAAATTTACAACAATCTTTTCTACATGCTTTACAGATCAAGTTAAAATAAAAAAAGGAATTGCTAAAAATCTTATAATGAAGAAAACAAAATATTTTTTTAAAACTACTTTAAAATAGCAATTTTTTTTCCTTCTTCATTTACCCTCAGCTACCTAATTTCAGTTATCATACAAGATACAGCATCTGAAGTTGTGCAGAGCACAATACTTGCTCAGCACAGTCATGAAATGGCACATCTTATGAAGTTTAGCCTATGAAACACTACCACAAGAGAAAAAAAATATTGAAGAGGAAGTAGGTCATCTCTGTGCAATGTGCAAGCCTTACGCAGTTAGAGCAAGGGTACCTTCAAGACCAAAACCATTTTAGATCATCACATTAAAACAGGGCATCAATATTTACACATGTAACTGAAGTAACATGCTTGTTTTTCATACTTATGCTGCATTATCTCCTGCAATCTAACACACAGAATGCATTCCAGGCTATACCCCCAGAAAATTAGGTTTTGTGGTGGTGTTTTTTTTCCCCTCACAGTCATTTCAAAACACTATCACTTCCACAATTTCTCAACCAGCTGCACTGTTTCCTTACTGGGCGACTTTTGTTTGGGTGATTCTGTATTACAGCAACATTCAAGATTGCTTAAGTCACCAACAGCCAAACATTATGAAGTGTCAATTGACATCAAGACCAAATCCAAAGTAGAGATGATAATCTCCCCATCTAAATACATATGATGTGCTGGGTTATTTTTTTTTTAAAGAAACCGTGCAATAAACAAAGTCAGCCAGCCAGCCTGGAGACTGCAATCCAAAACTGTATTTAGAGTTCCAAGTGGTTTTAGTAAATGCTTCACCCACATCATCAAGACCATGTCATGCTCATATATTGCTGAGAAAAGGGAACTGGCAGCAGGTCATGCCAGACCTCCTCTCTCCCCATACCACATCATTTAAAGGATTCCAACTCAAGGACAAACATACCTTTGTATGGCAATGACTTCAACTTTTTAAGCCTTCTTTTCCATGTTTAGTCTATCTGCATGCATCATACAGATCAGCATGGCCTAGTCCAAGGCACTGCCAAAATTGATTGCCAGTGCCTAATCCTTTCAAGCTCTTGACTCCTACGCCTAAAATGTTCCAAGGCATGCAGCAATGACACTCCTGTTGCACAAGTGTAGATTAGTGCTCAAAAAGGCATCTGCATGAAGAAAGAGAGAGAAAAAAAAATCAGGCTATACTGGTTAACAGTGACCAAAAAAAAGATACAAAGTTCAGACCACATGAGAATACACCAACTCTCACCAGTAACTCAGCTGTGACCAGTCTGGATTGGCCAATTGGTAAGATGGGCTAAAAATGGATTTCAGAAGAGTAATTACACTAATGATCACAATTGGTGGTCTCTATGTGAACTGAAATGAAGAAATATCTTGGAAGAGATTAACAGTCCTGATGTGGCAAGATGACTGACTCTCACACTGCACAGTCAGTACACTGACCTGCTTAACTCTTGCAATTCCACTTACCTCCTTATCTAGCATTACATCCCCAGCTGTAGCTTGCAGCAAATTTAATAAACATCTGAAAACTTTATACATGCATTTACATAACTCTTCCACCAGTTCTCAACTACCTGTCATGCTTCTGTACCACTTAAAAAGCACCAAAAAACAATATGGAGAAGCTGAGTGATGTACTCAGAGCTTTCTCTGACAGGCTGTTCAATGAATTACTTTGCTTCATGTTAAACAGAAGCTCTCAGTTAGAATAAGGAGCATCAGGTAACAGATTTAAGCCCTTTACCTCACAATTCTACTCTTACCTGTTCAGTTTATTAAGCCATCTCCTCCCAGAATTACACTTCAATACTGCAGGGAGTCCCAAATTTTTTATTACTATTATTATTTTAATAACCCACTCTCTCCCCTAGTCAATACACAATTTCATGACTTTTGACTCAAGGAGCATAACTCATGATTCAGAAAGGGTAAGATTTTCTGCAAGACTGCCTTCAGAAAGCTTCCCCACCTGGGGAAATATGCAAGTAGGACCAATGTAAATGACAAAAAGGGTCACAGGCAGCTGGGGAGAATGAATAAAAGAAAGAATGTCACTTTAGACCACAAAATGGCTTGGGCAAGTGACATGCATCACAATTACATTACTGAAAAGGTTCATTAATTCTTCAAATGGACTTTTCAAACAATAATTCAGTCTAAGAAGGAAAGAGACATCACCTTTTAAGGCTTTTAAGATAGATTGATGGCAGAAAAAGGAAAAGGTAGAGGCTCATATAAGATAAATGCCACCAAACTGCATTTTCTTGCTCTATTCAGAAGGAAAAGTTTTTTTACTTACCAACTAGAACTCAAGGACTTTATCTGCAACTGTTACAGAAAGTAAGAGTACCCCCAATTAAGAAATGTCAGAGGTGACCTTGCATTAAAGGATACAGGTGACAGTATTGTTGCTATGTTAGGTACTGGGCTACCAGGCCACACTTCCCCTCCCATTTTCAATACTTCCACCCATGACACCTTTCAGTCAGCAAGTCCACACAATTCTGGCTCTGATTCCAGCCTTGAAATTTCACTTACAAGAGCAAAGAGCTCACAGCCTGATACAAACAACATAAGTAAGTGAAGAGGCTGATGTCATGTTAAAACTTGGCTCTCCCTGTTATTCTGTTAAGACTGTCGTGAGAGGACCTCTCTTGCAAGTTGGTTATATCTAATTTGCCCTCAACTTAATACAAAACAAACCATCCAAAAAACCATGAAAACCTCAATTTAACTGCCTTTAGCAATACTGTGGAATTTATTTAGTGGTCAAGCAATAGCTGGACAAATAATTGTATCAGGTCTTGAAGACAGACTGTATGAGACAAGGTATGTATGGTGAAATATTTGACTTCAAGTGACTTGATTCCTATGTTTTTTTTTCCTTTAGGAAGAAGAGGGCTTTGCTGTTTATAGGTTTCCAGCTGAACCAGTCTCTCCAGAGATGAGTGGATTGAAGCATGAGTACTGTTGAAGCAACAGCAGGCAGCAATACACTCATCTGGTCTAATGAGTTTGGCATTGCAGCTTTTCTACTCCAAATCCCTGGATTCAAATCTTGTATTTCAGCCTCAAGCAAAACAATCTTGGCCAACATCATGTTGCCTGCATACAATTCCTCTGGCTCCTCCTAAACCAGCACAAGCCATTGTAGCAACTTGATTTGAGTGAATAGGCTGTTTAAGGGAAGTCAGAATGGGAAAATAAGCCCAGACATCTTTCCCTTAGAAAAATCAAACTTGTGTAAGCTGGTTGAGTGACATACTTTGTGTGGAATGCATGCTAGTTTATGCACTATCAGTGATAATTATCTGTGAGTACATCAGTATAGTTTTTTATTTATTCTTCCATTTAATACTACATGTCTCTTTCTTCACAGATATTGCACCTGCCCACTGCCTCCTCTCTTCATGGACAGCAAACTGGATGTGAGAATTATTTACTTACATTACACTGTCACATGTTCCTTGCCAGTTAATGAGTCTGGAATTGTCAGCCAAGGGGTATCTGAGATCTTAATTTTCTATTCAGCTTCCAGAAGGAAACAATCAAGGAAAGGGAGGTTAAGAGTTGATATGAGATTCCCAAACACTCCTCACTGGCAGAGGGTTTGTCTTTGGGCAATTTCTAGAAAAGAAGTGTCCAGTAGATCCCTCTATGCAGATTTGTGGACTGCTGAACTTCTGCAACACAGACATACTGGAAGGAAAAGGTAGGTTAAACACCCAGAGTACACACCCTCTGCTCTCCTGGAAACTCTGCCCAAGAAGCCATTAATAACACACAAACCCCTGCATATTTCTTATAAAAGAGCAATGTTAAAGACAATGGACCTTGATTCAAGTGTGAAAACCCACTTCAAGCCATTCTAAAATGAGACATTCACACTATTTTTTTTAAAACTAGGTTTTAAAACATCTTTGACAAGAACCTATCAGAGAGGACACAATCAATATAACTCTTGGTTTTTTAAAGAGATAGAAATGGACACAATCCATTTTAAAAATACTTATGATCTCTATATGCAAACCAGTAAAAACTCAAAAGTAGTTACAGGAAAACAGAGGTTTACCTGGCATGTTTTTCAGCATGGGTGTATGTAGATCCAGAGTACATCAATGAGTTTCTTTCAAATCTCTAAGCACTGAGCTAGGAGGAGCCCAACTCTCCTAAAGGCAGCAGCAAAGCTGAAACTAAAGATACAGACCTGTGAAGAACAGAAATAGGCCCCCTACCCACCCCCACCCCCCAAAAAAGGGTTGGCATTGCTACTTCTTTGTTCAGTGGAGAAAACAGAAGAGAAAAACATCTTCCTTCCAATGACAGTTCACTTACATCAGGTACTTGTAGCAACAGTACAAAATACAGTATTTTTATGATTAACAAAATGACAAACAGAGTAACAGCTGACAGATATGCTGTTGGCCATTAGGAAGGCACTGAAAATCTGGAAAATTGGAATTCTTCTTAGAGGTCTTTTCTGGTGCCAGGAAGAAGAAAGGAAAATCTCAAATCAACACTTCTGTGACTTCACTTCAGAGAATTCCCCTATTAAGGTTTGAGTCTTCAGATTTCCTGGAGATTTAAACAGAAAGAGCCAAAGACAACAAAGATACCACACACCTAACCTTGCTCAGATGTATGTTACAACAGAGCAAGCAGAGATTTTTTTTTTAGAATAGCTTCTGCAGTTGCAGGTCACACACACCTCCATTTGTACTGGAGAGGTGTGTAAATGTGAATATTAATGTAAACATTTACTCCAGTAACCATTATATTTCTCCATTATGATACAACATGCTAAAGTGAAAGTAAGCTAATCTTTCTCTGAAACTGAAGGCAACTTGCAAAGCCTTTTTGAACTGAGCACAACAAACACCTACACACTCAACAGTCACTTATATGAATTAATTTTTAACACATGAATCTTCTTTTCAGCCTATGGTGAGATCTGTGCTGCCAGCAAGCAGAACCTCAGCTACACAGTTTTAGGTAACACTGATACCACACCAAAAGACATGCTGAAGATTTTTGAACTCTAAGTTACATTACCTCAGGAAGCAGCAGTACTGAATGCCAAGCAGAAATAAGACATCCCTATTTAAGAGTTGTCTTAGAGCCTCCAAAATCAACACCGTTCAAGACAGACACATTTTGTGCAGTTATGCCCTCTTCCATTAAGGAAATGCCTGACAGCACCACAGCCTCAGATTCAGCAGCAGCACTGGTATCAGCAGACAGGCACAAAATAGATCTGTCACCAGCCTCCTCCAGAACTTAGAGTCCATCTTTCATACAGGTTAAAGCCAGTAAGGAATAGGGGCATAAGCTACACTACAGCTATCAACACAGGCCACTCTCAAACTTGGAATTATTTCCCCCTCCAACTCTCATGAGAACCCTTAACTTACTCAGTCATGATGTATCATTTACAGAGGCCTCCTCTACTCCAAGTTAGCTTGAAATGTATTTTATCTGAGCTACACAAATACCAACGAGGATGATTGATGCTTCCAATAAGTTGTGCCTCAACAGATTTCACATAGCTACTTACTTAATTTAGGCATTAAGAAACAACTTATAATTCAGCAAATCCTCAATAAAACCATTTTATGAATGGAGCAACAGTAACTAATGCATTTGCCCAAGGCCACAAAGTGGTAGAATTGAAGCCAGTACTTTTCATAGACTCATGGAATCATTTTGGTTGGAAAAGACCTCAGAGATCATCAAGTCCAACCTTGATCCAATCACTGCCCCATTACCACTAAACCATGTTCCCAAGTGCCACGTGTACACATTTTTTGAATACTTCCAGGGATGGTAATTCCACCATCTCCTTCCCAGCCTGTTCCAATGCCTGACCACCCTTTCAGTAAATAAATGTTTCCTAGCACTGAACCTAAACTTCCCTTGGTGCAACTCGAGGCCATCACCTCTTATCATGTCATTGGTTACCTGGGAGAAGAGACCAACCCCACCTGGCTACAACCTCCCCTCAGATCTCCCAGACTAAAACATGCTTATCTTCACTTAACTATGAAATTATTATTAAAAAGTATGATTTGCCTTAACTTTGCCTCAAGGTGCACAACATCAAATCCAAGGAGACTCATTCAAATCCAAGGAGACTCATCCTTGGTGCTTTCTGTTTGGAGTGTGGGAGCACATCACATGTACTCATATACCACAATGAAGCACATGGCAAATATCTTTGAAGGACATTACAAATACATACATGCATTCCTCAAATGGAAAAAGTACAACTTTGGCTGTCTTCACCCAGGATCTCAAAAAAAAGAAAAGCAGTCATAATCATGTCACTCTTTAAACTGCTTTGTTAGTACAGAATAAAGCCAACTTTCTTATCTAATTCCTAGTGAAAACAAAAGCTATGAGTTTTTAGCACCATTAAAATTCTCAGTACTTTCAAAGCATTCCAACTCTAGAGAAGGTGTGATCTGCAACAATATTCACCCATGTGACACGAAACAGATTTCCCAACCCAGGTCTCAATTTGTTGAGATCCTTGCCAAAGTGATGACATGCACTGCCATCTTGTGTTATGGTTTAGAACTGAAAAAGTCTGAGAAGCTGGGTGTCAGATCTACTTCCAGCTTCTGCTGTTTTTACAGCAATTTCTTCCCCAGCCACTGCTCCACATGAGGAGTCTCTCCAGTAACATTTTATATATAGAAATAAAACTAAGATCTAACTCAGGCTGCAACAGATGCAAGCTTCCACATTCCCAAGAAACAAAGTTCATTTTTTTCCACTGATGCAGGTGTTTTCAAGAGCACACAGTTTTTTAGTTTTGCTGGGACAACTGGTGCTGAGTGGCATGGATATTACCTTTTAGGTTTGAGCTGCTTTTCCTCCAGCACAAGCAAACAAATCCATTGACAAACACTGCAGTGACACAAAATGTGAGTTAAGATATCAATCCCTTCCTCAACTTCTTCCTGAGGAAGAATAATAGAAGATGTCCCTTTTATGTCCCTGAACTATATTTTGAAGATAGGCATTGTTCTCAAACTCTCTTCTGCAAGAGGATACTAAGGGTTCCTTTACCTACAATAGCTGGGTATAAGCTGAGCAACTATATTCTGTACCAAGAGCACACACTGGGATAGGAGCTCCAGAACAAAAAAGAGGGATGTGAAGTTGTGGATATTTCAGTGGTGTGCAGCCAACCCAATCCTGCTACATCCATGCCTCACAGGGGACATGAAAGCAATCATCTGTCAAACCTTCCCAAGCCCCACGCTGAGTGTAATGACATTGTGTCCTGCAATTCAGTCCCAAGCCCAGGGGGTGGATCACAGAAAAATATGTGTTAACAAGTAGACAAAAGAAAACTGTGCAACAGTTCTGGGAAAGGACATTAAATATATGCTGAGTGGAAGATGAGTTTTCTTAATAAAAAAGAAAAAAGGAAAAAAGAAGAAGACTGCCTTACAATTTGGGTATGGTCATCTAGAAAGTAAAAAAGCTTCTGCTGCCTCTATTCTAAACAGAGTATCAGAGAACCTCTACAAGCGTGCTATCTTTACACAGTTCAAACTC